TAACTCTAGCACTCTCTATTCTAATTCTATTCTTAAAAAAAAAACTTTAGACTTGCAATCTATTCATGTAGTAACTGCTTGTTTTCTTAAAAAAAAAAAAAACTAACACTAGCTATATATATCAATATAAATAAATAAAATCTTAAAGGGATAGTTCACCCAAAAATGAAAATTCTGTCATTAATTACTCACCCTCATGTCGTTCCAAACCTGGAAGACCTTTGTGCATCTTTGGAACACAAATTAAGATATTTTTGATGGAATCCGAGAGCTTTCTGACCCTCCATAGACAGCAACACAACTGAAACAAGGCCCAGAAAGGTAGTAAGGACATCGATAAAACCGAACAGCAGTTCAACTGTAATTTTACAAAGCTACGAGAATACCTTTTGTGCACAAAGAAAAGAAAAATAACGACTTTATTCAACAATTCATCTCCTCCGCGTCAGATTTGAGGCGTGTGTGCATTCCTCTGGAAACAAGGCACAGCGCATGCGTCATGATACACTGAAGAAAATATAACTGGTGTTTGCTATAGTGACACCTTGATATAATTCAGGTAGCTAGCTATAAACATTCTGACAGTTTGACCAACTTTAACTTGCTCTGCAAAGTTTTCTCAAAACTGTTGCTCAATCATCACAGCAGCAAAACTGAAGGAGAAATAGATCGCAGCACACATATAGACCTTACGCGTCAGAGAAACAAGTGCAGCCATCTTTAGAATGTTGTCGCAGCTCTATATATTTCTATGGCATCGCAGTTTATGAGTAATTAGCTGGTGAAATGTATTTACTTACTGTAGTGTTAAGGCAAGTTATCATGAGAATTGTAACGTTTGAAGCGGATGTCATAAATGTCTGGGAAGATTTTAAAGGGGTCATGACATGGATTTTTTTTAAAAATTATTTTAATGTTCCTTGAGGTTAACTTATAATGCAAATAAAGTTTTTTGCACACAAAACTAAATAAATAAATAAATATGTGCAAAAGTGATTATTTTCAACCCTCATTCTGACCCTCTCTCTAAAATGACCTGTTTTTAAGGGGCGGCTCCTTTAAGGCTCCTCAGGAATCAGCCGCTTTTATTATTGGCTAACGTCATTAAATAGGAAACAGTATCAATGCCCCCCCTCGCTATTGCATGTGAGTGTTTTGACAACATGATCAAAATAAAACAGTCTTTTGCAGACAAAGCATTATGAAATCATTTACTCAAGATTTGTGATGCAGCTGCAGTCCGATCTAGAACCGCTTCATCTTTCAATAAATGTTTCTTTGTGACTCTCCATGACACTGTGCCTCGTTTACAAAACAAAATCCTCCAACACGATCCGGGACGCCATTAAAAATAAACTATCCACTCGTTCCTTACGCTGGGATCCTTCTGATATCTGTACAAAGACGCAAACAAGCTCTTTAAACCAAACGCGTCAACACTTTCACTCCATTTGTTCTTTTGACGACAGACTCAAATCTGCATCCAGTGTAGACAACATAGTGGTAGTGATAGTAATTTCTATTTGTTTTTGACGCAACACCTCACATTTAGCGTGATCAAGTGTCAGCCGTTAAGCGAGTGAATGCCAGTGGGCGGGGCCTATGGTGAGAAGATTACTATTCGTCGATGTCTTGCTCTGGAGGCATGTTTATGCAAATGTGTGTGCCCTTGTGACATCACCTTGTACCTCATATCCAAAACAAGCCATTTTTGGAGCTTAATTAAATAAATGCTTCGTTTATAACGAGCAAGACGTTTTAAGCTATGAAACTTGCAGGATGTTTTAATGGTACAAAGAGCTCTTACATGCCAAAAGATGAAGGCAAATTTCATTTCTCATGTCATGACCCCTTTAAAACGGGCGGTTCATTCATAAATTCGTAAAGTACACAAGGAGAGCAAACTGAAAAGGGGAGGAGCTACATAAGGTCTATTACGCTAATGCCTCTATAGCGCCCCTTGTGGCGACACTGAGAATGAACGCTGCGCTGAAAGTGACAGTTATGTACATTGTAACAGACCAGAAGCAGACTTCACACACTGTGAATAATTGAGCGACGCAGCAGATGACACTTGGAGAACGCAAACACTCCCATCAACAGCAAGCGTTTGACCTCAGACCACTTTAATCTAATTGTGGAATGAGACACTCATCATCAATTCTGCATGAGTGTTTCTGTTAAGGATCTGGTTAAGCATCACTCGGGATGGACTAGACGATGGGCGATGAGGGATCTGAAATGTATGCATTATTAACAAATAAAGAAGACGGGGACACGGGCGTGTGCGAGAAAATAATAGGGCAGAACAAAGTGGAGAGTTCTGAAGCTCAATGGGACGGACTCGCCACATGTCTTAAGGGCCTCAATTTGGTCAAAGGACCCCATTGTTCTGGTGCTAAGCTGCCTTCACTGGGTCTGCAGGATGGGGGAGAGGGGTTTCCCTCCTTCACACGCCACAGAAAACACACTTCGCACAATCATTTTAACCCCAACAGCGGCACACGCAAACAGAGCAACACCATGAGTGTTAACCTACAGGGTCAAAATGAGTATATAATAATGCATTAGTTGTCTAATCACAATCGATTAATTGATTTATTGTAGTTGCAAGGGATAGCTCACCCAAAAATGAAATTTCTGTCATCATTTACTCAGTTTCAAAACTGTAAGACTTACTTTCTTCTGTGGAACATAAAGATATTTTTAAGAATGTTGGCAACCAAACAGTTGCTGGTAGCCATTGGCGTCAATAGTATAGGGAAAAATACTATGGAAGTCAATGGCTTCTAACGGTTTGGTTACCCACATTCTTCAAAACATCTTCTTTTCTGCTCTACAGAAGAAACTCATACAGGTTTGGAACAACTTGAGGCAAGTAATAAACCAAACTCATAAAGTGAATCTCGTTATTCTCAACTTGGGGAAAAATAATATTCAGCCATCAAAACACGCATCCTTTTGTTTTTTGTCAAGTAGATGAATACAATAAAGTGTGAAAGGCCTGTATGAGCATGTGAAGGCCTAACTGATTACTTTCACTAGATGGCAGTGTTATTTCTATAATAAAACTAAAGAAAACAGTCTAGCATGAAATGCCATTTTAGGCCCTTCCAACTAAATACCAATAAAAAACCAAATCTTAAACTGCATTGGGAGAAGAACAATTGGTCATAAACCACTGATCAGGTACAGCACAGGTGTAAGTCTGTTGAAATAATGCCTCTGGATCTCTGAAATTGGAGCCTGACTACAAGACATAAATATTTAAACGCTGTTGCAGTGCTATTTCTCCCATGGATACACTACAGCAGCACTGCTGAGGATTGATTCACATAAAACATAATGTGTGTGCTAGTAAACAAACACAGCTGAATGGAGACTGGTGCAGATGGCTGGAGTAATTATTTCCAGGTTGTTTATACGTATTGACAGTTTTGTGGGACACTGAAATCGTAGAGTAAATATAATTGTAAATAAATAGTTCTTTTGAACGCCTATTGTGCTCCATTCAGTCTTTGAATTTTCCATTAGCTCTTTCGCAGCATGAACTGCAATTACAGGTGCAACGCACAACTGTGAAGAGTGGCAGATTAAAGTACTGAGAGAACTTCACTTGCATTTCACAATGTTTTAGGAGTGTTGCTCCTATTCCAAAACGAGAGTAACGACTGACTGCAATTACACAAGAGTATGTGATTCCTATGAATGAATGCTAAGAAACCTATCAAGAGCATGTCTGGAACATATATGTGTCCCTGGAGCACAAAACCAGTCATAAGGGTCCATTTTTCGAAATTGAGATTTATACATCATCTGAAAGCTGAATAAATAAGCTTTCCATTGATGTATGGTTTGTTATCTATATATATATAAATACTGTATATATAGATTTCATTACAATGCATAAAGTTAAGAAATAATAAAAAAATGCTATTTACTGTAAAAAGCTGTGTGTGTATATGTTCATTTTTATATAGTAATTCATAATTCGTAAAAATATTTTCTTCATAAATGACTAAAGAAATTAGATATTTAAATTAGATAAACAGCTGTGAAACGTTCATACATGAAATTAGCAATTATTCTGTACTGCAAAACGGTTTTGTTTTTATGCATTAATTACTATTACAGTATATTAGTAATGAGGATAATGAGAATAAAATATTGACAATCAAACAGTTTGACTAGATGCATTATGGTAACAAGACAATGTGCTTGATGGTCAAAATAAATGACACAACATACACTAAAAAAACCTTTTCTATGCAAAATATATTTTTTCTGTTGATGGGTTCAAATATGATAATCATCCATGTAATATTTAAAGCAGGCCCTATAATTTCTTGCCTAAGCGCTGTGAACGACAAACAATGGTTGAATGCAAAGAAATAAAATGCAATGGTTTGGATGCATTGCAAATATGTGAGCCTGGAGCACAAAAGCAGTCTTAAGTCGCTGGGGTATATTTGTAGCAATAGCCAACGATACATTGGATGGGCCAAAATTAAAGATTTTTCTTTTATGCCCAAAATCTTTAGGATATTAAGTAAAGATCATGTTCCATGAAGATATTTTGTAAATTTCCTACCGTAAATATATAAAAACTTAATTTTTGATTAGTAATATGCATTGCTAAGAACTTCATTTGGACAACTTTAAAGATGATTTTCTCAATATTTAGATTTTTTTTGCACCCTCAGATTCCAGATTTTCAAATAGTTGTATCTCAGCTAAATATTGTCCGATCCTAACAAACCATACATCAATGGAAAGCTTATTTATTCAACTTTCAGATGATGCATAAATCTCAATTTCGAAAAATTGACCCTTATGACTGGTTTTGTGCTCCAGGGTCACGTTGTATTGTACTACTGAACTGCAAAGTAGGCACATTTAAAATAATAAAACAAACACCACTGTCCAAGCAAACTGGGATTGCCATTTATGTAAAAGAATATGAGATTACCACAGGAAAATCATCTTCAAACAGCAATGCATTCACCCAAGAGAAGATTTAATGAGCAGAAGTAATCTAACAATAATACAATCTTCTTTCATCCATCGACACTAAAATGCTATAAAAAAACAACAAAAGAAATGTAAAACATTACACCAGAGAACAGAGCAGTATTTTATCAGAAGCTCATTTGAGAGTAATTAAACAGCTAACTGACACACAAATGATTGAGGTGAGTTTGGTGCTGGTTCCTCAGAGGCCTGAGAGAGAAGAGGCTCAGAAACTCCGCCGAGTCTTCCCCGCGTCTTCCTCCGGCTCGCTTTACTCCGCTCCGGAGAAGTGTGATCCACCCAGGCCAGGCCCACAGCCTGAAGGTCCACGCTCCTCCGGTTCCTCAGGCTGCGTCGCACAGAACCCCGACTCTTTGCCACAGGTTTCAGGATGTCGTCGATGTTGAAGTCCGCCTGCTGCCAGGGAGCCAAACTAGGCTCAGTGGGTCCAGTGTTGCTCTCATCAGTAACTCGCTCTGACTGAACGCTCTCAACTAGCTTTCCACGAGGGCTTTCCAGCGTCTTTTGGACCGGTCCATGTTTTTTATTCCTTGGCGTCTTCTGCTCCAAGCTCTCAATGTTCATGGAGTCTCCATTTGGTAGCACGCAGCTTATTAAAGCCTCAGTTTCTTGGTTCTCAGAGCACTCGGTTTCATGATGCACTGGACTGTCTTGGTACATTAAGGTACATCCAAATGGCTTTTGGCTCTCAGCATCTTGTTCCCCAGTTTCACCGTTAATAGCTGGACTGCCAAGCTCCTTTCTTTTGTCTGTGCATGAGCTACGACGTTTGCGCACGGGCCTCCCTGAATCACGTTTGGCTTTGGAAGCCTTTGACGCCGAGTTTCGTCTTTCTGCAGGATCCTGAGCTCCAACTGAGGCTTCCACACAAGCCATGCCCACAATTGAGCTCAACATCTGCTCGGTTTCATTGGTCCGTTTAGTATCCAGACTTACCGTGGGACGAATCTTGCTTTGGGGAACGCTGGGAGTCCCATCTGCAGGAAGCCTTTGACGCCGAGTTTCGTCTTTCTGCAGGATCCTGAGCTCCAACTGAGGCTTCCACACAAGCCATGCCCACAATGGAGCTCAACATCTGCTCGTTTTCATTGGTCCGTGTAGTATCCAGACTTACCGTGGGACGAATCTTGCTTTGGGGAACGCTGGGAGTCCCATCTGCGTTGGAAGAGTAAAACTTTTACATTAAATGTTCAAAACACCAGCATAATGTAGTTCTGTGCTACCAACTCTAGATTGTAAAATGCATCCAGAACCTCGTTTATTTTAGCCTCGTGTCATTCTAAAGTCATATGACCTGTTCTTCCATGCAACACAAATGGAGATATTTTGAAAGATACTTTTTCCATACAATGAAAGCATATAACACTGCTTTTTCAAGCTTCTAAAAGGACATAAAATGCAATGAAACACTGTAAAATTAGTCAGTGCAACTTGTGTGCTAGATTCCAAAACTAATGCCTCACGATAGCTTTGTAGGACAAGTGGTCAGAAATTTAACACATTATTCACTCAAAGCATTCCTATATATACACAACACTGCTCAAAAGGTTGGGGTCAAGGAGATTTTGTCATTTTGAAAGAAGCTCACCAAAGCAGCATTTCTTTGATGAAAAAGACATATGTGACCCTGCAGCACAAAAGCAGTCTGAAGTCGCTGGGGTCACTCACTCACACACACACACTAACACACACTCACTAACACACACACACACTCACTCACACTAACACACACACTCACTCACACTAACACACACACTCACACACTAACACACACACTCACTCACTCACTCACTAACACACTAACACACACACACACACACACTAACACTAACACACACCTCACATACATAAGGAAGGATTATGTATGTATCAATATACAAAATATATATATATTTTATACAAAAATATTTTGAAACATGAAACGTAGGTCTGTCACAAATTCCTCTGAGAGATAAAAAAAAGGTAATAGCTGAATCTACAGTTTAAAATTAAAAGAGGTGACTGCAGATATGAGACCTCACCTTTCTTTTTCTACAGCGAGAGCGAGTTGGTTCAATGCTGGAGTTACATGAAAGTGTCTGTTCAGAGCTAGCAGAAGACTCCTGGTCATCCTCTACTGCTGACAAGGAAACATTAAGCCAGATGTCAAACACAAATATATATTTATTAACAAAATATTCACACACTCTTCTGTTCATAATATATATATCATTAGGATATTAAGTAAAGATCATGTTCCATGAAGATATTTTGTAAATTTCCTACCATAAATATATCAAAACTTAATTTTTGATTAGTAATATGCATTGCTAAGAACTTCATTTGGACAACTTTAAAGGTGATTTTCTCAGTATTTAGATTTTTTTGCACCCTCAGATTCCAGATTTTCAAATAGTTGTATCTCAGCCAAATATTGTCCTATCCTAACAAACCATACATCAATGGAAAGCTTATTTATTCAGCTTTCAGATGATATATAAATCACAATTTCCAAAAATTGACCTTTATGACTGGTTTTGTGGTCCAGGGTCATATATATATATATATAAACAAACACACACAATAAAAAAGAAAAAATCATAAAATAATATAATATAATATAACCTAACAAACCATACATCAATGGAAAGCTTATTTATTCAGCTTCAGATGATGTATAAATCACAATTTCAAAAAATTGACCCTTATGACTGGTTTTGTGGTCCAGGGTCATATATATATATATATATAAACAAACACACACACACACACAGTTAATAGTCTAACAGCTAAAGTAATAAAATCAGTTTAACAACACAGTTCTGCTCATGAGTTTGCATTCTCCTTGCAGAATCAGAAAATAAATTAATAATAATGATCATAAAAGTTGCATTTTGCTTTTTAAATTTAGTACTGCCCTGAGGAAGCTATTTGACTTAATGCACATTCACTTGCACTCCACAAGACACAATAACAAACTATGTCTAACAAACTAATAACAAACTATGTCTAACAAACTATGACATTTTCATAATCAAAGGTGGGTTGTCTGAATAACTAGTTGCTCTTAATGAAGTCTTGCATACAGGGTTTCTGCAGGTTTTATAAAGGTAAGACTTTTTAAGAGTAAAGACAACTAAAGTAAATGTAAGAAATACATTAAACAATGTGCTCTAAATGTACATTTCCAGGGAGCACGCAATGAGTTGTTGCAACGGATGTTGTTGTTTTAAGCATAAATTCACTTAATTTTGATAAAAGTTTAGAAAACAAGACTTCTAATCTTCATTTTGCATCTTAAGTAAATATATCTTGATTTAGGGATGTTTAAAAACTAGTATTGGAAAACAAGAAAAATACTGAGGAAGACAACTTTTTTTCAAATGTATTTTTATTTTTATTTTTTTTTGCAATGCATGCAATATTTAAAGCCCCGACTTTATGAATTATGAAGACTTTCTGTTCTGATTTAAGACCCTTTTAATTAAGACTTTCTAAGACCTGCAGAAACTGGTTCATGTCCACAAAACACTGATCAGATGTATTTGAAATGCATATACATAATATATTACAGTTTGCTGCCAATTTAAATAAACATTTAACTTAACTTATTTTTCCAGGGTTCGTACAGAAACTGCAAAATGAAATTCCAGGACTTTCAAGGACTTTTCAAGCACTACTTTTTTGGTTTTCAAGGACTAAAATCAGAGATCACAATATCGTTATCATCTTTCAAATTCTAATAAATAAACAAAACAAAATGGTACAAATAAAGTGCAGCACATACAAAGCATGCCTTAGCTGTGGCAACCTGAAAGGATACTATGACAAAGTTATTGCTTTCCTTATTCAAAGGGATTTTATTTATGAATATATGATTGACCTGAAGAGTAAAAGCTTCATCATACATTTGGAAAGTTATGAGCTATATTATGCTCGTAGACACTAGTGGTGTGACAGTAAACTTAGCTCACGAGATGAGACAAAATACAGATACTTGGTTCACTAGAACGAGACAATATTTTAATACTATTTTTAAGACATTTTCAATGACAAAATATTTATCTTTAATCACAAAAAATCCCACAGTGCACGTCCAACTTCAGCCGGTCGCGTCAAATTAAAGCACTGAATTACGCATTTTTATGGACAAAATGCATCTAAAAATAGTGGAGGAAACAGAATGAGATGCTGCGGGAGAGTTACGTGATCCAAACATGAGAATTCTTTATTTTAAAGGGGTCATATGATGCTTTTTTAAAGATCATTATTTTGTGTATTTGGTGTAACAGAATATGTTGACATGCTTTAATGTTCAAAAAACACATTATTTTTCAAATACTGTACATTATTGTAGGTCCTCTATGCCCCGCCTCTCTCAAACGCTTCGTTTTCTACAAAGTCCCTCCTTCCGACAAGCGCAGTCAGCTCTGATTGGCCAGCTGACCCAGTGCATTGTGACTGGCCGAACACCGCAAGCACTCGTCGGAAATGTAACGCCCCTTACCATAATCGCGAGCGTCAGCTCTCAAAGTAAATATCAAGATATTAATAATGTCGTTAGTTTTACCATCAGTTCAAGCCCGAAAGAGGAACAGAGTCAGTAATGATGCAGTACACAAGCCGCAGTTAAGACAGCTGACTCTACTGTGATGTGACCCTGTCTCTCCCTCTCTCTCTCTCACACACACACACACACACACACACACACAAAACGCGTTACTCAGCGCTGCACAAAACTCCGCATTTGAACAGTCAATAGCAAATACTTAAACTAATAACAAAACAGTAGCTGAATCAGAAGCGCCAGATTGTCATAGCAAAGTCAGAATTACCTCCTCTCCTAGGTTCACGAAACGGTCGTCCATAAAATGCATTGCTGTTCTGTTGTAAGTAATCTTAAAGATTCCTAAATGCATCTACTTTCGGAAGGCCAAATAAAGTGCTTTTGCTTTCGCCTAGAAACACACAGCGTCTCCCTGACATGCTGCTTCAACACTAACTGCGGTTACTGAAACCACGCCTTCTTTCTTTGCGTGCACATTTGGGCGCATTATGCAAATATTCCCACATAGTGACCTAGATATGTGGGGGCGTGCTAGAACGAGCCGTTTTAGG